CAGATATGACATCTCGTTTGCAACCGAGAACAGTATCAGCAGCTTAAGGCCCGACTAGCCGCCCGTCATTCTGACAAAATCTGCCGCAAACTTGATCGAGACGGATGAAGTATACCGACAGCCTCCAGAAAAAAGCTGCTGCAAGAAGCAATGTGCCTCGCATATATACCTCAAGGGTCTCCTGCAGCATGGCACACCCTGCAGTGTACATGTACGTCCGGGCTGTTCGTAGGCACTGTCTCTCGAGTGCAGCCGTGGATATTCTCAACAGTCAATCAAGCAGGTACTAGCTAAGAATCTCGTGAGGCCCAATCCTCTGAGCCCCAGGCCAACAGAAAAAGTTGCGGACTCCTGACAGTCCTCACAGCCAAACATGCCAAACATGCCAAGTCCTCATAACAGAAACCTCGTCCAAACCCCAGCAGCGGGCGTTATCATCCGGTCATCGTCCAGCGGTCAAGCATAGACTCGATGCACGGAGCGCACTGCTGAGAGACGAGGGAATTACACAAGTAACCCGAGGCGGCAGACTGTTGCGACGACCTCGGGTCCAATCGTCCGGCCACACCCCTTCGCCTGGTGCTTTTCCCCTGTTCTGACCCGGACGAAAGCCTCCTGCAGCGTGGGCCTGACCGCCCGCGCCCGGCTGCCCAAGCCGCGTCCTCCCGAGGGCTCTGGCATGACGCAGGTCGGTGCCTGCGTTTTTTTTTTTTTTTGTAGCCTGCGATATATAGCTACACAAGGGGCGAGGGCTTTTTCTGGTGATGCGTTTTTCTTGTGCGGCCGTATTCGTGAAGCCGCCGAGATACGGCCCGAATGAACCTTTAAAGAGCAGGTCGAATGTTGAGTGATCGGTGTGCGCGCTCTCACCGAGCCAGTGATATTCAGCTGACCGAGGAGCGCACAAGAGAAAGAGCTTGGGAGCTTGGACCAGAACGCAGGACTCCAGTCTGCATCCACCTCCAGCCTAATGCGGCGGCGGGGCACCAACACCTGCGGCTACCACTTCAGCGTCCAAGCTCCCTCCCCCAGATCCGTACTGCAGATCGTGATCATCGCGACGCGTTCTCACGCGACGGCAACCGCACCTGTCCTGCATGTGTACCCCTCGCAAATCAGTACCGACTTTGGTGTATTTTATGGTATTTTATGATTGCCCCTTTATCGTGAGGAAAATTGTCACACTATCATCCAGGCTCCGCATTTAGCCCTGTCTGCTCGCCATGGCATTGTCCAAGCAAGAGATCGAGGCCGCCATCCGGGACGCCGTCCGCGAGGTGTCTGGCATCAATCGCGACAACCTCACCGTCAATTACATTCGCAAGTTCACCGAGAAGAAGCTCAATCTCGAGGAGGGCTTCTTCTCGGAGCCGGAGTGGAAGTCTCGCAGTAGAGCCCTCATTAAGGAAATAGCTGTTCGTCCCCCCGCTGTGTATCCTATGTCGTATTGGCGATAGCATGCTGATCAGAACCAAACAGGAGTCGCTCGACACTGCGTCGCAGCAGCAAGAAAGCTCTCCTGCCAAGCCAAAGACCAACCCGACCCCGGCGCCGAAGCCTGTCAAGAACGCCGCGGACGACGACGACGACGACGACGAGGAACCTCCCAAGAAGAAGAAGCCGGTGGCGCGCTCCAAGGCGCGCAAGACGGCTGCGTCTGACGAGGAGGATGGGTCGCCACCGAAAGCGAAACGCGCCCGCAAGCCACACAAGGTTCTCGACAGCGAGCCGGAGAGCGACGACCCAGAGGACGACTTTGGATCAGACGGCGGCGATAACTCGGACGACTTGAGTCAAGACGACAGCGAAAAAGAGGCCAGACCCACAAAGAAGCGCAAGGCTGGCCCGGCGCCGAAGAAGCCCGCCAAGAAGAGAAAGACCGTGTCTGACGACGAGGATGAAGAGGCGTCAGCAGACGAATCTAGTGCGCTCTCGGATGCGCCCCCCGAAGAAGACAGCGAGCTCTCGGACGTAATGGATGCATCGCCAAAGCCAAAACCAAAACCGAGAGCAAAGTCCAAGACGCAGCCGAAGAAGGCGGCGCCGGGCAAGAAAGCGACACCCGTGAAACCCAAGAAGCAGCCCGCAAAGTCACCGTCTGGCAAGGACGAAGGAGACGACCTAGCTGCCAAGTCAAAACCTGACGCCGAGGATGCCGAGTCTAGTGAGCTCTCCGACGTCCTCGACGAGCCTCCCAAACCGAAGCGCGGCGCCAAGTCCAAAGATGCGGCGCCCGCCAAGCCCCGCGCGCCGCGCAAGAGCGGGGCCGCCGCCTCCGATGACCCGGACGAGGCGGAGGTCAAGAAGCTGCAATCGCAGCTCGTCAAGTGCGGGATCCGCAAGATCTGGGGCGTCGAGCTGCGTGGGTGCGGCGGCGACCCGAAGGCCAAGATCAAGCACCTGCGCGGGATGCTGCGGGATGCGGGCATGGATGGGCGGTTCTCGGAGGCGAGGGCGCGAGAAATTAAGGAGAGGCGGGAGCTCGAGGCAGACCTGGAGGCGGTGAAGGAGATGGATGCCGCGTGGGGTGTCGGAGGACGGGCCTCGAGGAGCAAGGCCAAGGTGGCGATGAAAGACGCCAGCGACGAGGGCAGCGGAGCGGGCGAGGAGGGTGGAAACGATGGCAGTGAGGAGGATGATGAAGACTTTGGCGTGTCGTCGAAAGCGCGGGGACGGTCAGGGGCGCAGGCAGACTTGGCGTTCCTCGATGACGATGACGAGTCGGGAAGCGATGACAGCGAGTGATGTTTGTCAACTTTGCTTTCAGTCACCGGCGGCGAACGATGTGGCATGTTGTTTTTTTGGTCCCGCATGGCATTGACTGCTGCTCATTGTATCATGATCTCATGCTGAAACTGACTCGGCATGCCTGATTCTTGATGCATTTGGTCACATGTACCCTCATTCGGGATTTCAGGCGCATGTTGTGATGACTCTCTTCCAGTTGATCTATTTACAAATTCGATATCCACTTATGCCGAGCTCGGTTCTTTGCGTGAGTACCGGAACGAAACTCCCCAAGCTGAAGAATCGACCGATTATACGCACAATAAAATTCAAGACATACTTACGACGAACGGAGTCCGCAATTATCCTACAGAAGCAGCAAGGCTCCGCAAATAAGCAGGAGAAGCGCCGCCTGTGGGCTGCTGACATGACCTGCGCCTGAGCCGTTGCCGTTGCCATTACCGTTGCTGCCGTTGCTACCATTGGCACCATTGGCGCCGTTGCTGCCATTGGCGCCGTTATTACCGTTGTTGCCGTTGTTTCCATTGTTGCCATTATTCCCATTGTTTCCATCGTTACCATTGCCTCCATTGCTGCCACCGTTGTTGCCGCCATTGTTGTTTCCACCGCTGCCGTTTCCGGTGCCGGGCGTCGGGGTCGGGTCGGTAGGGTTCACAGGATCGGTAGGATCGGTAGGGTCGGTGGGATTGGCAGGATCCACGGGACCAGTTGGATCGGTAGGGTCGACGGGACCAGTAGGGTCGGTAGGGCCTGTTGGATCGGTAGGGTCGACAGGGCCGACAGGGTCAACAGGGTCAACTGGGCCGCCGTCAACGGGCTCACAGCCGGTATCCACGCAGAGGCTGCCCGCTTCGCAGTACTGACCCGCATCGCCGTTGCAGCATTGGGCATCACCGGGGATGCAGACTTTTTCAAGCAGCTGAGTTAGTCTACTGGGCTTCCTTGAAGGGTGGGAATGAACAAGCCAGCAATGAGGGAGAGACGGATCAAATAGTATGGGGTCGGCCGGGTCAAGGGAAAGGGGCTGTCGAAAGCACAGCACATCAAATATCGGAGTTTGGAGTCAGAAAGCTAGAGAAAGATTTAGACTCACAAACACCGCAGAGAGCCTCCGTCTCGTCAATACACGTCTCGGCTGGTCCGTCGCAGATATCGCCCTCGGGGCAGCACCCGTCAGGGTTGCACACGTAGCCGGCCTCACAGTATGAACCTATGGCCTCATCGCAACATGTCTGGCCAGTCTCGAGGCATGCCCCTTCGCCGCAGGCAACGTCGCACTGTCGACGAGCGAGGGAGAAGAGGGCTGCAGGTATGGTGCTGTTGAAGAGAACAGTGGTCTTGTGGGTACGGAAAGGGGTCGTGGCAGCCGCGACGGCCACAAGGGCAGGGAGGGTGAGCAGGGGGAGCATTGTGTATATCTTTGCTTGGATCAAAACGCGATTTGGAGAAGGATTAGGGAGATACAAGAGTATAGCGAAGGGAGTTGGCAAATAATGATGAAGAGCTACGAAATTGTAACACCCGACACAGGTGCGACGGACAATATATAGACATCTCGCTTCTCTCGCCTCAGGCCGCGACAGGTTTATCCTTCCACGATTTGATGGCGAAAAGCCTCACCGTCAAGAAAAGCCTCGCCCAGACAAACAGCAGAGACACTGCCATACAAAATGAAGGTAGTCGGTCGCGTGGTGCTGAGCTGGGTGTGGGGGAAGCCGGGATGAGGAGGACCCGGCCCAGGCATGGCAACGGATGCAGGGTCTACACGTCGTGACTAGCTGAACGACCGCGCTCCTGGTGTGGGAGCTGTGATCAATATTTGTGCCACCTGAGCCCCTGATTTGTGCTTTTCCTTCATCTTTCACCCGTCAGATAGACGAGGTGTAATGCGGCCACCGTTGAATGTCAGGCAAGAATCTCGTGGCATCGGGACCTGTCGAGCATCGTGGAGATTTGCACTGATGTAACACATGGAAAACACTTTGGCATCTCTTGCAAAATATTTCTGTTTGATGTTGCCATCGCATTGTCCCAACAAAATCCCCCAATCGAGCCAGACGATCCGGGGTCCAAGTAAGCATAAATCTGCCGCCAGCACCCCTGAACGGCGGCAAGTTTCTCGAGCCAGGGGGGTGTAGGGCTGGACAAGCTTTTAGTCAAGCTTCCTCAGCTGGGCTGCCGCCAGGGCTCGAATGGTCAAGCCACTCGGACCGTGGCCAAAGGCGTTGCTTCTCTGTAGGGGTAAGCGACAGAGGAGGCGTTTAAACTTTTCCTCAACGGGCTGAATGGCAGGCCGAAAGAAGTGACACGATGCTGTGCTGGCAGGCAGAGCGAGCCCCGTGATGAGCTGCGCCCATTCATTTCGGTCGAGAGCTCGTAGTGCCAGGTCCCGCGTCGCACAGCTCCCGTGTTGGCGCCACCCTCATACTGTGGACCAGATCGGACGATGAGGTCGAGCAAAACGGTCGGCGGGAGATGCGTTGGCAAATTGTTTGGTCGAATAGTGACGATGAGGAGATTGCAGAGACCAGCCGGTCATCGTGTCTGTCCAAGCGTGTGTGTCAGTCATGTGATGAAGCTGTTGTCCGTTCAAGACTTCATCACACATGTTTCTCGATGCCTCATCATGAATTCCGCTCTCTCTGCGTGCGCATCCACCCGGCCCTCTGTCGGGGAGTATCGCTCAATGATTGCACAACTGGCACGACACACGGCCACTCGGAGCCACTACCAAGGTTTCATCGGCGCGCCGAAAAGAAGGACCGGCCACGGTTCAAGTACCCGCACCAGTCAAAGTCGCGCATTGCCGGATGTCGGCTGGCGCTGTGTCGCCCGTCTCGATCCTCATTGCCTCCAGCCTGGGTCTTCTGTGTTTCTGTGTCTCCAATTACCCCTCACCCCGCCATGCCCCGCACCACCGACATTTCGCCCCTCCTCGCGTTCCGCACCAGCAAGGTTCGTGGGTGCGTGGAATCAGCCTGAATATGCGTTGCTCAGGTAGGTAGGTAGGTATGAGGGGCAGAAGGGGGGAGTATGGGGATCCAAGGAGATTCGAGCGGGTTTGCGACCAAGTAAAACCGGGTGGCGAGAGCCCTGAATCCCGCCAAACTGGGTCAATCGGCCACCTCATGATGCACATAAGGGCCGCATGCTGCCCTGCTGCCCTGCTACCATCGTTTTGATTCCAACATGATCAACTCTTCCTGTTCCCATATCCTATCTAATCACCGCAGGGCATACAACGCGAATCGACAACATGACTGACGCACCTTTCGAGTTCCTGGCCCTCGGCGCCATCATCCAGTCATTCCAAGTCAAGGGCATCAACATTGTCCAGGGCTTCCCCACCAAGGAGCTGTACGAGCAGCACAACTCGCCTTTCTTCGGCGAGACCATCGGCCGCATCGCCAACCGCGTCAAGAACGCCAAGATTGACTCCCTCAACGGCGGCAAGTCCTACACCCTGGCCGCCAACAACGGCGTCAACCACCTCCACGGCGGCAACAAGGGCTGGGGCAAGCGGGAGTGGAACGGCCCCAAGCCCGTCGGCGTGCGCTCCATTCCCGGCGTTGACGGCCTCGAGGGTGGCGAGAGCGTGCAGTTCTCTCTACTCAGCGAGGATGGCGACGAGGGATACCCAGGCTCGGTCGAGACCATTATCACCTACACTGCAGGTGTGCAGAAGCAGAACGGCAAAGAGGTCAACGTCCTGGGAATCGACTACGAGACCAAGCTTGTCGGCGGCGCTGACGAGACTGCCATCAACCTGACAAACCACTCCTACTTCAACCTGACGGGCGGACCGACAATCGAGGGCACCGAGATCACGCTTGCGACCGACAAAGTACCTCCCCGTCGATGACGGCGGCATTCCTACAGGCGGTCCCGCGGCTTTCGGCAAGGGGATCACCGGGGGCAAGGCCTTCACACTGGGTGCTGAAGAGCCCGATATTGACGACTGCTTCGTTGTCAACGAAGCGGCCGGCGCAGTCCCCCTGGACACACGCAACAGCCCGCTGACAACGCTCGTGCAGGCGTACCACCCAGAGAGCAAGGTGCATCTCGAAGTGGCCAGCACGGAGCCCGCGTTCCAGTTCTACACAGGCAAATACATTGACGTGCCGGCCGTTGGCGGGCTGCCGGCGCGAGGCAAGCGCAGCGGCTTCTGCGTTGAGCCGAGTCGCTACGTCAATGCCATCAACGTTGACGAGTGGAGGTCGCAATCAGTGCTGAAGAGGGGCGACGTCTACGGCGCACGAATTGTGTACCGCGGCTGGAGCGAGTAAACAATGTGCCGAACTTGATTACTAGCTGTTAGCCTCACCAGAACGCCCTTATTGATGAAAATGACGATTCACCCTGTTTTCTCCTGCGAGCGACGTGTGCCGGCGCCCAGGACGTGCTGCAGAGGCACGCACCTGACAAAGGCCGAGTCGCACCGGTGACACCTTGTCGAACAGTGGTTGGGCAAACCTCCTGCAGGCGCCCAGATGCAGCTGTGAAGGAGGGAGCATGACGACATAGCTACAATTTCGAAATGACTCGATGAGAAGGCTTCCTAGCTTTGAAACCTGGAGCCAGGCTGGCGATCGAGGCGGACCAAGTGTGCTTCATCTTGCGTGCTCGCATTTGCATCTGCACTTAGTAGAGGGATGGATCTTGCATTGACGACGCTGAAGACGAAGAAGGGGCCGTAGAAGCACCGCTTAGTCAGTTGCGTCTCACTACGCGGCCTTTGCTTGGTTGCTCCTTCCTTCCTTTCAACCTGCCAGCACTTCCTTCCCTTCGGCCGTTTTGGAGGGCGGGCGGTCACGAGGCCCGGGAACCTTCCTGTGACTGTCGCATTGTGAAGTGCGCTTAATCCCCTCCCAACACGCATCTTTCCCTCTTCACTGAGTGCAAGCATCTTCCGGCGTTGTCTTACGCCGGGCTGTACTCATACAGACCAGAAAGATTCCGGACCTTGGCCATATTCGAGTGTTTGAGCGTAACGTCGGGCACTTCTTCTTCTTCCATACTATCCATCGTACATTGGCCAGCACAGCACAGCCCAACAGGACGACACGAAGCTGGCTTCAAAACCTCACCATCGAGAGACTAGACGGTGCCCTTTAATTTTCTAATCGCATATTTCCTCCATCCTTATACCTGCAGCTGCGCTGGAATATCATCACGACACATCTGCTGACACCGGGTCGTTCAATCAATCTCCACGCACACATAAATGCCTAATGAAATGACTCTCACCACCCGGCCGCCGCCGACCGGGCCCGCCCCGCCTCAGCACAAACAGGCGACCCCAAAGCGCAAACGAGGCGAAGACGACAACAGTATTGCGCCGGCTTACACGACGGCGCAGTTTTGCTTTCGGCTCCCCCCTCCCAGCAGTGAAGATCCCGGTTGCGAGAGTCCGCGGACCAGGTTTGCCCGCCAATTCAAGGGACTCAACATCGACGAGCAGGGTGGGGGCGGGGTAATTCCCCAGCAGCTGCTGCTGCAGACGCAGCTCCCAGGCCAACCTGTAGCCTTCCGGTCCCTGCTCGCAGGTTCTGACGAACCTGACAATGATGAAGATGATGGCAGCCCGACAACGCGCAAGCGACAAAAACTTCCCGATGTCGAAATGCACGATTCAGCGACCGACAACTGTGAGCGGGCCGTATCTCCCAGCCCACAGCGAAGCTCCACGGTGCCCCATGTCGGTCCACAGCCGCAGCTTGCCCTCAAGGCCGTCACAATCAAGGATGCAATTGCACCCGGCTCCGATCTTTCCTCCACCGCCGATCAGCTCCACAGATCCTATCCTTCAATCAACCGCCTGCAGGACTCCAAGTCCCGTCAGCCGAGACGCGTCGGTACCCCGCCCCCGAGGAGGAGGACGACGAAGAAGGAACCCGCCAGGAGGAAGACCGAAATCAGCGACAGCGAAGATGAGATACCCACGATTGTCGATCCCGTTCGAGCAGCCTTGACTTGGCACGAGGACGAGATCACCGTCTATGACCCCGACGACTCGGAAGACGACGGCGTTGGCGTCAACGGCATCGGCTTCAAGCCCACGGCTGCCCAAACACGGGCTAGGATTGCGAAGCGGAAGCAGCAGTTGGCCGAATACAGGAAAAGGGAAGAGAGTGAGGCGAGAAACAAGCGCAGCCAGCGCCGTCGCGGCAGTGCGGCCGGCCTCCCGGCTGCAGTCATGAAAAACAAGGCAGCATCAGCGTCAGCTGTAGCCCGGCGCGTCCGTTTTATGGAGGCAGAAGCTGGCGCAACTGCTCTGACCGAGTCGACTGTCTGATGAGATGGCTCGCATACCACAACTTTATGATGGTGGCAGGCGTTTAAACTCGATACAAGGCACCAGAACTGGATTTAGGCAGCCTTGGCCTTCATATCGAGATGGCATTTCGTGGAACGGGGTATGGCGTCATGGGCACTGGAGCGAGGAATAGTCTTAAGGTTCTCACGATGATTCACACACTGTCTTCGAAAGAAGTCTGGCATGACGAGATAGGGAATTGGGCACTCGACATGATAACATCACGGCTGCACGTTGGCTTCCATGGCTGCAATGCATTCTTTGACACAATTGTTACAAGCGAGAAGAAGCTCTACCAGAATTTATACCAAGGATCCTGCCTTGCCGCCACTGCTGCCGCCTGCTTCGCCCTTGCAGCCTCGTCCCGTGCCTCCCTACGTGCTTCAGCTTCCTTCTTGTGCTTGTCGGCCATGGCCTCATGGTACACTTCGACTGTCCGCCTCATGCGGACCCTCTCCTGCCTACGCTTCCACTGACAGTACTCATACGATGCAGCTGCGCCGGCGAGGGTGCTGCCGACGGCCCAATTGGCGACCTTTGGGATGGGAGCTGTATTGTGTGAGTTTACCTCTTGTAAACAACCGCGATGGAACGGGACTGCGGGGAGGGAGCTGACCCTTCATGACGAACTTGATACCACCAACAAGTCCGCCGGAGACAATGCCTGCGATGTATCCATCTCGCGCGCATGGCGCCTGGCTCACGGCAAGGAAGTCCTCGGGCTTGATAGTTTTCATCGCATCACCGACGGTGGGACCCTCACCCTGCTGCGGGGGAAAGTTGGTCTTAAAGTCGGCAGGGTCCAGCTTGGCGTTGACGAGCTTGGGAAGCTCCTTGGGAGGCGCGCGACTGAGATCTAACCTGGGATCTATCGCCGTCTCTGGTGACGAGGAGGGTGCTAGTGTTGAGGTTTCTGCCGGCTCGTTGGCAGGGGCACCGCGGCTCCAGAGCCAGCCCTTCTTGGCCTCCTGGCGGGTCTCTGTACGATTTTGATCTGACGACATGTGGAAGCGGTCAGGGTTGATGTCGTGATGGCGTCAATTCCAGG